GTGGAGGCTCTGCAAGCCCAGCCAGTGTCCAAACAGCCCCTCTCCTGGCACACAAGGCCACTACTCTCTTACTGAGACCCTCTCTAGTCCCCCCTTAGTGCCTCATGTGTACACATCTGGTGATCTAGGGAAGGTCCTCTCAGATCTCTGATTTAGCCCCTCCCCTCCCTGTCCTGTGCCAACACTGCGCTTATCATTTATCACCCGCCGACATACCGTATGTTTATCCAGAATTGTCTCCTCCGCTAGCATGTGGCCCCCAAGGGCAGGGATTTCTGTTGTAGAATGAGAGACTTAAGAGAGATATCACCCAAATACAGTGCATGGACCCTGTTTGGATTCTGCTTTGAACAAACCAACAGTAAAAAGACATTTACAAAACAACCGGGGACTTCTGAATACTGGCCATATATTAGATAATATTTAAAAATAATTGCAATTTTTTAAGGCATGATGGAGATCTCTTATCTTTTAGAGATATGTACAGAAACATTTCCGGATGAGATGCTCTGTTGCCTGAGACTTGCTTTTAAATTAACAGAGGAGGTGGAATAAATAAAAGAAGATAGGCCATATGTTGACAATTACTGAAACTGGGTGGCGGGTCCTTGGGAGACCTTATAGTGTTCTAATTTTAAATTCCCTTCATAAGTTAAAAAAAAAAATAGAAAGCCTGATTGTGAAGAAGAGAGAAAAACAAGCGGAGAAAGAGTTTTGTTCGTTTCTTGTTTGTGTGTTTTTTTTTTTTTTTTTTTTTTGGAGACAGAAACGCTTAGTGCCTTGACCGGACTTGGCAGCGGACCAGGAGTCCGGGTAAGTGGCCGGTTAGATGCAGGAAAGTAGGAGGGCAGGAAAGCAGCCGAGCCGGCTCAGGGCGAAAAGACAGATCAACCGCCACATTCCTGCCACCGCGGCCATAAAGCCAGACCCAGCGCCGCCGCCAGGACGCTGATCCCTTCCCGCTAGTTAGGCTCCAGCGAGCTCCGCTACCTGCGCGCGCCTGCGCAGCACCGCCCTTCGAGGAGCGCGGAACCAAATCCCCACGCCCCACAACGCCCCGCGCCGCCGGGGACGGGCAAGACCTCGGCTTCCATACTTGAGCAAGGTGAGGCTGAGGGTGTCGCACGGCTTGCCGGGAAATGCAGTTTGCGTGCCAGACTGGCGCCGCCGCCCATGCTCTGGAGAGACTACGCGCCCCATAATGCTCCGCGCGCAGCGTCTGAACGGCGCGCTGCTGCCCCCTCGTGGCAGCTGAGCGGTTATTGCCGAGGCTGGGAATCCCCTCCTGACCTCAGACTTTGGCTAGGAAAGGTGGCTCAGTTCCAGGACAAAGGTTGCATTCAGCGTTAAGTTTGTGTTTAGCACAGGGATCAGACTTCCGAACAGCATGAATCGCCAAAGGGATTACTTCAGGCCTAGAAAGCCCAGTCCCCTTTTGTCCAGGCGATTCCTGTCTTCCATCTACACTGACCTGAGGATTTATGAAACCAAGCAAGGTTCCCTTTGCTTTCATAAAGGTTAAGTTCATGGCCATCATCCTCCCCTGCAAAGAGGGGAGGGTGGTGGATGGTGCGGGTCAGGCATGGGCAGTAATGGGGCGCAGGAGAATTTAACGAGTCTGGTGGAAGGAAATCCACAGCCTCTTCCTGCTGCTTCCCTGAGGTTATGGATCTGGTGACCAGTAGAAGGTGGTCAATGGTGGGGCCACCAAAATACATGGTCCTTTTTCATAGCAATGGCTGGGATGTAGCTGCCCAGCCCAGGAGTTTATTCCGAAGCCCACCGCATGAGTAATGAGTGCACAGGTGAAATGTGTAGATACTTCCGGGACAGGCTTTTAAAGAACGGTGAACCTTCTCCACACCATCTCCTCCCTTTTGCCAGTGAAAAGCAGATCATTTTTGAGCCTCCAGAAATGATGGAGCCACACAAGGTAAGAGTGTGGGTGTGTGAACAACCACATTGAGGTTGCTGCTAATCAACCGGAACACCTGCACGGGACCGTGCGTGTGTGTGTGTGTGTGTTGGGGGGGAGGTTGTTGCTGCCGCTGCTGTTATGCCAGCACACTGACCACCACCCCCTTCTTCTCTGGGCCCCCTGATATCAGTAAAGTTTAAGCACCAGGTCATTCATTCTGTAAAGTGAATTAACAATCCCTAATTACAGTCCAGCTCTCATATAGCAGGTGTAGGTTTCCTGTTTAGAAATTAGCATGGTTTCTTCTATTGTCATCAAAAATTTAAACATTTTTCCATGTTCTTACAGATAGCTTCTACCATGTTGACAACTGGGAGGTGTTAACTAAAAAAAAACAAAAAACAGCGTTAATACTTTGGAAAAGAGAGAGCTTTATTTCTCGGGAAGGGTTTTCAGCTCGCAGTGGCCATTCTCACAGGCCGGGAAACGGCTCCAGCCACAAGCCAGGAACACGTGGTTTTCCGGGGAGAGACAAAAGGAAAAGGATTTTGTACTGGAGGGGTGTGTGTGTGTGTGTGGCTAAATACACACATTTAGCAAGCTATGGAAGTCATGGATATTTATGAAAAGAAAACATGCACATGTGTAACAGTGCTTTATACCTGTCATGGCTGAGAACTCAGTTTTAAGGTTTTTCTGGGGTCCCCTTAGCCAGTACGGGGTCTGTTTGGTTACTGGGGTGCTTAGGATTTTATTTTTAGTTCACAAAGGCATTAAGCGCCCCCTGAGAGTTTGCAGTGCGGCAGACCTTCATGCACAGTGACTCACCCTCACCTGGAGCTCGCAGGTATGAATTTGATGTCTGTTGGGGGGCACATGATCATCTTGCCCCTTCTTTTGGCCTCATACTGAGGTGCACTCTGAGGCCAGGTCATAAAGTGAGTCTCGGTGCGGATGCATCAGCTGAGCTAATTCTGCTGAGCTCCCTGGCGGAACTTAGGTTGGTAGGTGCTGGTTGGAAAGCTGGGAACACCTCCTCCGGCTCTCCTCATTCTGACAGCTCCTTGACATTGAAGAGGCCCAGGCCTTGGGGTCCTTTTCTGAAGTAACCATTTTTGGTTTTTTTGTTTTGGTTTGTTTTTGTAGAATAGGGTCTTGCTATGTTGCCCAGGCTGGTTTTGAACTCCTGCCCTCCAGCGATTCTCCTGCGTCGGGCTCCTAAAGTGCTTAGACTTACAGGTGTCAGCCAGCACGCTGGGCCAGGTTTTTTTTAATAGACTGATTTTATTGATTTGTGTGTGCACGTGAGTACACACACCCATCCCTTGCAGGTGTTTGGTATCAATGTGTTTCCTGTGCATGTGTGGCTCCCCCTTGTGTGTGAGAAGCTTCCTGCACCGTTTCTGCAGGTGAACTCTCGTGAGTCTGAGCGCCAGTCTGTGTATTTTGGGTGTGTTCCAGGTTTGCGCGTTTGAGTCCAGGTGTGTGGGGCGTTCTGTGTATCTGAGCGTGTCCCTGTCCCTTGTAGTGGGCAGCAGAGCACGTACACATCGGGCTGCGTGTGGATGGAAGCATCTTCCCCACCCTTCAGCTCTCGGCAGTTCAGCCTCATTCTGTTTACCGTGGTTGTTCCTGCTGCTGCTTCTCCTTCTCCAGAAGTTATAATTAAGTAATTGCAACAATCAAGCAGAGTCCCCTAAATACTTATCCCACCAGGAATGAGGGATCATTATTCCAGGAGCTAATGAGGGGTTATTATTGCACACGCAGGCACAGGCATGGTGCTATTGAGGCTCCGCAGAAGGCATGGGCTGCACACGCACGCGTCACATACATGAGGGCACGGTGTTCT